ATAAATAGGTCCTTAGCCTTTGCGTTACAATTGCACCTTATTCTATTCTCTCATATTTAGAAGGAAATCCTTAATTAAGGAAATCCTATTTTGTGGGTTATTTAACCCTAGTTGTATTTTGTTGGTGAGTATAGTAAATTTGGCGTTGCGGATGGAGGTGCCCGGAGACGTAGGCTATTTTCGCCGAACTCCTTTATCAATTTTTGTGTTCTTTTATTTATCGTCTTTTATTTGTGTTGGTTTGTTGTGATACCCCCAACAAGTGGTATCAGAGTCGAAGGTTCGTCCCAGTCTCATTTGGAGAGGCGAGCACCGCATTCGCGTTCGAGATGTCCAAAGAGGTCAAGGGCGCATCATCCTCCGCATTCATTCCGGTAAGTACGGTGATGCCGAACGTCAGACTCCCGGTGGAGATTTTCGACGGGACCGGTCATTTCGGCTTGTGGCAAGGCGAGGTGCTGGATTGTTTATTTCAGCAAGGCGTCGACATTGCGATTGAAAAGGAGAAGCCAACAGACGTTGAAGAGATGGACTGGAAGAATATCAACCGCTTAGCATGTGGAACAATTCGTTCGTGTTTGTCGAGGGAGCAGAATACGCGTCAAGAATGAGAAGTCTGCTCACACTTTGTGGAAGGCTTTGGAGGATAAATTTCTGAAGAAAAGCGGCCAAAATAAGCTCCTCATGAAGAAGCGATTGTTCGATTCGAGTACCGGCATGGCACATCGATGAATGACCACGTCACTGCATTCAATCAATTGGTTGCAGATTTGTTGAACTTGGACGTCACATTCAGCGATGAAGATTTGGCTCTTATGTTGTTATCATCACTTCCAGATGACTTCGAGCACTTAGAGATTACTCTGCTCCATGGGAAGGACGATGTAACTTTTGCAGTGGTCAGTTCTGCTCTGTATAGCTACGAGTTGAGGAAGAAGAACAAACAAGAGACGAAGAATGCAACAGCAGAAGATGAAGCATTGGTTGCAAGAGGTCGGTCGAAGGACCAAAAGAAGAATGGACGAGGAAGATCACGTTCTAAAGCTAAGCTTGAAAAAGACGAGTGTGCTTTCTGCCATGAGAAGGGACACTGGAAGAAAGACTGTCCTAAGTTGAAGAAGAATGGCAAATCTCCTCAAGATGCATATGTTGCAGAGGGTGGAAGTGAAGACTCAGAATTTTCACTTGTGGTTTCACCTTCATCATCTCATCCAGATGAATGGATTTTGGATTCAGGATGCACCTACTATATGTCTCTCATAAGGGAGTGGTTCTTCAATTTTCAGGAGATCAATGGAGGGGTTGTCTATATGGGTAATGATAATGTCTGTAAGACAACTGGGATAGGTTCAATCCATTTGAAGAATCGTGATGGTTCCACCAGAGTTTTGACGGATGTTCGGTACGTTCCGAGTAAGAAGAAAAACCTCATCTCATTAGGAGCCTTGGAATCCAAAGGCTTGGTAGTGACTTTGCGAGATGGAGTTATGAAGGCTACATCCGGCTCGCTCGTGGTGACGAAAGGTATCAGGAGGAATAATTTGTATTACTATGAAGGTGATACAGTTATTGGGACAATAACAGTAGCAGATTCCACCAACAAGGAGTCTGAAACAGTTAAGTTGTGGCATATGCGTTTGGGACATGCTGGTGAAAAGTCCTTGCAAACATTGGCAAAACAAGGATTGTTGAAAGATGTCAAAATGTGCAAACTAGACTTTTGTGAGCACTGTGTTTTGGGAAAGCAGAAGAGAGTGAAGTTTGAAACGGCTATCCATAATATCGAAGGTGTCTTGGATTATGTTCATTCGGATGTTTGGGGACCTTCTAAGACCCCATCATTAGGCGGAAGACGCTATTTTGTCACTTTCATCGATGACTTTTCCAGACGTGTTTGGGGGTACACTATGAAGACGAAGGATGAAGTGCTTGGTGTCTTCATTACATGGAAGACACAAATTGAGAACCAGACTGGAAGGAAGATCAAGGTCCTACGAACGGACAATGGTGGAGAATATACAAGCGATCCCTTTCAAGAAGTTTGCCGTAAAAATAGCATTGTTAGGCACTTCACCGTTAGACGGACACCACAACAAAATGGGGTGGCGGAGCGCATGAATCGAACATTGGTAGAGAAAGTTCGATGTATGTTGTCCAATGTTGGTTTGGGCAAGGAGTACTGGGCTGAGGCTGTAACATACGCGCAACACCTCATAAATCGTTTGCTGTAATCTGCAAAAGATGGTAAAACACCGTTGGAGGTATGGTCGGGGAAACCTGTTGCTGACTATGGATCTTTACATGTCTTTGAGTGTCCTACGTTCTATCATGTGAAGGATTCAAAGTTAGATCCAAGAGCGAAAAAGGCTTTGTTCATGGGAATAACAATTGGCGTGAATCGTCTTTTGTGTCTTAAGATGAACAAAACTGTGTTTAGCAGGGATGTTACATTCGATGAACAAAGTATGATAAAGACGACACAAACCCAACAGGTGGAGTTGACACTGAAGAAGGTGGAGATAGATGCGATGACGAGACAACCAGCTATGATCGACGACACAATATCAAACGATTTGTCGCATGATGAAGTTTAGACTCATGAATAATTAGATTTACCCATTGCATTGAGAAATCCCAGACGAGAGATTCAACAACCTGCTCGATTGGCGGATATGGTGGCTTATGCACTTCCAATTGTTGATGATGGAATACCTTTCACTTTTTAAGATGCAATTCAAAGTTTAGAAAATGAGAAGTGAAAGTGGGCTATTGAGGAAGAAATGTTGTCCCTCCAGAAGAATCAAACATGGAAGGAGACGCAACTACCAAAAGGCAAGAAGGCGATAGGATGCAAGTGGGTATTTACAAAGAAAGATGGATTTCCTCATAAGAATGATGTGCGCTACAAGGCAAGGTTGGTGGCTAAAGGCTACGCTCAGAAGGAAGGAGTTGATTATAATGAAGTGTTTTCTCCAGTTGTTAAACACTCTTCCTTTAGAATTTTGTTGGCCTTAGCAGCACAGTTGGATTTAGAGCGAGCTCAACTTGACGTGAAGACGACGTTCTTACACGGAGATTTAGATGAGGAAATCTACATGACTCAGCCAGAAGGATTCAAAATTCTTGGAAAAGAGAATATGGTCTGTAAGTTGAACAAATCGTTGTACGGACTGAAGCAATCTCCGAGGCAGTGGTACAAACGGTTTGATAAGTTTATGATTGGGCAGAAGTACAAGCGAATCAGACATGATCATTGTGTGTATTTACACAAGCTGCAAGATGGATCTTTCATTTACTTACTCTTGTATGTTGATGACATGTTGGTTGCATCAAAGAGCCAAGTAGAGATTGATCAATTGAAGGCTCAGTTGAATCAAGAGTTTGAGATGAAAGACTTGGGGGAAGCTAAGAAGATTCTCGGGATGGAGATAAGAAGGGACAGAATGAGAGACAAGCTTTGTTTGACTCAGAAGCAATATCTGAATAAGGTACTACAACGTTTCGGCATAAAAGATGAGTCGAAGCCAGTAAGTACACCACTTGCCCCTCATTTGAAGTTAAGTGCCCAATTGTCGCTGAATTGTGATGAAGAACGAGAGTACATGGCTAGAGTCCCATATGCAAATGCAGTTGGCAGTTTGATGTATGCGATGGTGTGTACAAGGCCCGACATTTCACAAGCAGTTGGTGTTGTTAGCAGGTATATGCATGACCCTGGGAAAGGTCATTGGCAAGCTCTAAAATGGATTCTACGGTACATTCATAGTACTGTAGACGTTGGATTGGTTTATGAGCAGAATAAATTTGGTCAGGGTGTAGTTGGATATTGTGATTCTGACTACGCGGGTGATTTGGATAAGCGAAGATCAACGACTGGATATTTGTTCACTTTTGCAAAAGCTCCAGTCAATTGGAAGCCTACCTTACAGTCAACAGTTGCTTTGTCTACAACAGAGGCAGAGTATATGGCGGTTACTGAAGCTGTGAAGGAGGCTATTTGGCTTTAAATTTTGCTTGAAGACTTGGGAGTTGGTCAAAAGCACGTCTTAGTGCATTGTGACAGTCAGAGCGCTATTCACTTAGCGAAAAATCAAGTATTTCATGCAAGAACGAAGCATATTGATGTTCGCTATCACTTTGTGCAGATGATTCTAGAAGATGGAACCGTTATGTTGAATAAGATCAAGACG